GCATGGGGCGGCATACGTCAGAGGTGAAATTGAAAAACCGGCCGTCGGGGGCGGTACAGATGAAGCAATATTTTAATTAGAGACTCTGCTACCTTCATATTTTGGTATAGTGTTGAGAAATGGAAACAAAGGAATACGTCAGAGGTCAAATTGAAAAACCGGCCGTCGGGGGCGGTACAGATGAAGCAATATTTTTATTAGACTCTGCTACCTTCATACTTTGGTATAGTGTTGAGAAATGGAAACAAAGGAATACGTCAGAGATGAAATTGAAAAACCGGCCGTCGGGGGCGGTACAGATGAAGCAATATTTTTATTAGAGACTCTGCCACCTTTATATTTTGATATAGTGTTGAGAAATGGAAACAAAAGAATACGTCAGAGGTGAAATTGAAAAACCGGCCATCGGGGGCGGTACAGATATTCACAAGACTCCCCTTTCTATTCAATTTTAATTTTCCAAATTGCGCCCAGTCGCCATTTTGAAGTTTTTATTCGTCAATTTTACTCCAAAATATAGTATTCAAGCAACAATTTCATTATCCCTAGTTTCAAATTTTTCAAATGACCCATTTAAAAAATGAAAGAGGGAGAACTTTGAGGAAAAGCACTGTAGAATACAGTACGCAGTGTCTCTCATTTTTTATAAATTTGTATTATTTCACCAATAGGCTCCCGATTCGAATTTTATTCGAATTAATTTTTTGATATGATTTTGTGATTTAGAGTTCAGTTTGTATTGTTATTGATCTATTATGATTTTGTGTGATGTGTATGTCAAATGGCTTCCGATATAGATTTTTAAAATATTTTGTGTTTTGAGATTGTTTTGTTGTGAAATTTAGTTTGCGTTGACTTTGATTTATGATATAATTGCATTTTATCGAATGTGATTTATATTTTGGTTTTTTTTGAGATTATAATAAGTAATATAATTCAGTTTGCAATGCCATTCATTGGTTATAATTTTGTATTTATTTTGCATGTGCCGGTTTCAATTTCCTATCTGTCGTCAATGAACTACAACAAAATATGAAAGTGACTGGGCCTCTAATAAAAGTATTGCTGGATCTGTACCACCCCCGATTACCGGTTTTTGATTTCACCTCTGACATATTTATTTATTTTCATTTTCAACACTGTACCAAAACATGAAGATGACTGAGTCTCTAATAAAAATATTGCTGGATCTGTACCGCCCCTGACGGCCGGTTTTTTGATTTCACCTCTGTCATATTTCTTCATTTCCAGTTGTGACCAGTATAACAAAATATGAAGGTGGTACAGTCTCTAATAAAAATATTGCTGGATCTGTACCGCCCTCGACGGCCGGTTTTTTATTTCACCTCTGTCATATTTCTTCATTTCCAGTTGTAACCACTATAACAAAATATGATGGTGGTAGAGTCTCTAATAAAAATATTGCTGGATCTGTACCGCCCCCGACGGATGGTTTTCTGATTTCACCTCTGTCATATTTCTTCATTTCCAGTTGTGACCACTATAACAAAATATGAAGGTGGTAGAGTCTCTAATAAAAATATTGCTGGATCTGTACCGCCCCCGACGGATGGTTTTCTGATTTCACCTCTGCCATATTTCTTCATTTCCAGTTGTGACCACTATAACGAAATATGAAGGTGTCAGAGACTAATAAAAATATTAGTGGATTTGTACCGCCGACGGCCGGTTTTTTGATTCCGTCACTGCTATATTCCTTAGTTTCCTTTTGTTAACACTATAACAAAATGTAAAGGTGGCAGGGTGTCTGAATAAAATGTTGACAGAGGTATACCGCCCCCTGCTCGGATTCTTCATTTAGTTTCCACTATTTTCTATAATTCCGAGGTCTATTTGCCTGAACTAAGAAACTTTGATACCTCCATTTAGTGCTTTTTGAAAACAAAACTACCTTTCAGGTTGGTACATGTAATTGGAATATATATTTAATTCCTTTTCATACCTTAATATGCGTACTTAGAAATATTTACAGTTTCTCGCATGAGACAACATCATCTGTAGATTGGTACCATCGACTTTATAATTCGGGTGGCCCAAACTGAGATGTCCAAACTTTTTTCAATATCTATCAGATTTACCCCCATTTATGGTATGCGATATTTTCAATTAATTTTTGAATTATACATTTTCAATGTTTCTAGGGAAATTGTGGGTCGGACCGGCCGGAAATCAATTCATTTATTGAGGAGAGCTTTCATTGGTATTTTTTTGATCAAATGATCTTTATGAATTGTTCTTTCATGCATAAAACAATTATTGTATGGTACGAACATTTGTATCGATATTGAAAAATTCGAGTTCGAAAAAGGTGAAGTTGAATTTTCAAATTTGAATTAAAAATAGTTTGAAAATATCGTATAGTTCTTAGGTAATTTTATGAATTTTCCAGGACCCTAAACTTTCAGAATAGCATGAAAATAGTGATCATTGTTACGCTGATATGTCATTTGCAGAAATCGGCGTTCAAAGGTGTGGAGGTAGAAATTGTCGAAGATAGTTATTTCATTGAAAAATATTATCATGGCTCGTTTTACTGTTACTGCAGCTTTAGTGGATAGCAAATACCATAAATTATTGAAAACCATAAAAAGATAACCAACAAAAATACTTCATCAATGAAATAATAATAATAATGATGAAAATAATAATGTGGGGAGTGGTCATTGGTTGATAATGCTGGCGCGCCCTCCCGAATGTATCGGGGCTTTGGGGGATAGGGCCTGACCAGCATAAATTACGGTAGAAAAAAAATAATAATGTCTTTATTCATCATATCTAATGGTTTACAAATGCATGTTTAACAATAATGATGAATGGGCGGAGTTAAGCTATTAAAGCTATCATTTTTTTCCACAAATAGTTTCATAGTGTAATTTCATAAGAACTAATAGTATTCAACATTGAAATTGTTCTCAGTCATCTTCATCCACAGGGTCAGGAACAAGCTCTGCTCCCACACGCCAGAACTGTAAAACTCTTCAAGACATTCGTTTAACCAACCAAGTTGGTCTCATCAGGAGATGAACTTAACAAAATCTAATCCAATCTCTGAGATGAGTCTGTTCATTTTCTGATAACACCAATTTGGTTGGTGAAAAGCGTGTCGAAAATAGAATTGCAGTTCTGGTGAGTGGAGAATGTAATTATTTTGGATTTATTCTACAACAAAGGTTCCAGTTCTACCTTTCAGTATACAGAAGAAGTGGATCATATTTTTAATATTTCTCAAAAATTTGACATATTTCGTATATATTGGTATAATCAATCTTCCTCAGTTAACAGTTCATTGCAAAACGACAGCAATTTAAGGTTAAACGAACTTCTTTTTATTATTTAATTTTCACTGAATCTAAAATTCCAAAATTGAAATTTGGTGATGGATCAATTCAGGAGTTGTGTTATGTTTATTCACAGTATTATTCATGTTATTTGAATTATCCTTGAAAATGACCACAGGAATTAATATTACTTAAAAAATAAAAACTACCTCTGAAAATATTCACTTAATTACCCCAGAAGACTGGTGCAGCAGATAATAGCCTATTAGTCAACACTTGTTTGAATTATCCTGCAATCTTAGCGTTCAGCAAAGTTTTTGAATCGCCCAGGAACTATGGAATATTTTTTAATGATTCTCAATACATGGTTGATAATTTAACATTGCCTCGTTCGAAAGTGAATTTTTCAATGGCGATAACTCACTGTAATTTTAGAAAGCTAATTATTATTTTATGCATGGAAGTTCACTTCATGAGGATCATGTTACAATACAAAACCAAAAAACTATCGAGACAAATTAAAAAATATCCAAGGCAGTCTTTAAAGAAACATTGCAAAATTCATGACTCTAAAAGTCGCATAAAATACATGGAAGTGAATCTGACAAGTCTTGAGGCTTTCTAGATAAAAAAAATTGACGTTTCCGATTAGACAACCCTGTATAGTGTGTATCAGCCAAAAGGAATGAATTTTACACTAAATAAATATGACAGTGTTCAACAAAACACTCAGGTACGTCGAATGAATTTTTCAGTTGAGCATTCTTCAACAAAAAAAAATTATAGAGTTTGTATTACCCATAAAAACTTCGTTATTCTGAATGCAATACCCGAGTTAAATATTGTTTAAAAGCCTTTGGAATTCTCTCTACAATTTTTTATAAATTTTTTAATTTTGAGCAAAAATTTATGTGAAAAATACCTTCCAATATGTAGATTTGTTTAACATCGCTAACTTATTTGTGCTACTTTTGTATAAGAAACGTTATCGCATATTCTGAAGCAGTCATTCATCTCGTCAACAATCCTTCGATGCAAATTTGAAGATGTTGGTTTCCGGTAATCGAGGTAGCCATTTCATATTACCTCTTTCCCCAATCCAGGGTCGCGAAATGTTAGACTAAATCAGAACTGAAATGGCTTCTATGTTCAAGAGATTTGTCCTTTCGATTTTTTGATAACCAGCATCTTCAAATTTGCATTAAAGTATTGTTGAATGACTGCTTCGGAATATGTGCGAGAACACAATTTTCATTATTGTTTGAACATTCATTTATTCGAGTAGCAAGTAAGAATCAGATCAAATTTGAATTTTTTATCCAGTTTTTACTACGCTATTGAGCGGATTTTCAAAATTCAAACTTTCCTAAAATAGTGACGCAGTTCCTGGTAACGGCTGTATGTGTATGTGAGATTTGATGTTATAATATATTTTTGTAGGTGTAATTCATAATATATATGGATGTGGATTTTTCGCTATATTTTGTAGAAAGTTTCATTCACAAAATTGTTTCATAATTCCAAGCATTTAACATAATATATGTTGTTGTTTTATAATTTGTATTACTGTTCAATAAAAAGTTTATACAGTTAATATATGAAAATGTGCCTTGAGATACTAAAACTGATTCATACATTTTTTTTAAGTATAAGTGTACGACGTCGAATTCAGAAAAGAAAAAAACAAGGTGTTTTTGCAATATGCCGTTATCACCGATACAAGAGCCAAGAATTTCTTCATCTGATACGTCCATTGAAAATGTGACTACTGTAAGTAGTTTATATTATACGAAAACAAATCAATAAGTTGAAAATATGTTACAAGCAATGTTTTTGTCATTCAGGAAATTTCAAATGAAGTTCAATATGATCAAAATGAAGGGAATGAAGAGTGCACTGAAAATAAAGAGACTAGCGAATCGGAAACTCATGACGATGATATTGAAGATCCAGATTTTAAATACCACGAGGTAATTATAACACTAATCGGTTTCCTATTTATGCAAAAACTTCTATTTTAGTCTGAACTTGATACCGATGATGAAGATGAGCCTATTCCTGAAGATAATGAAGATGAGCCTACTCCTGATAAACCTCATACTACGGTTACCAATGTAATCGACCCTAACAATGTATGTATAACTCATGTGACAATTTTTCTTTAGCGGATATAAATCACATCCTATTCACATGTCCCAACTGCAAACTGTACCGGCGCAATTTCTTAAATAATTGGCTTTCCTCGAATATTTCCTTTCAAATATAACAATCCTTTAAGGTACACTCAATAAAAAAATACATTACTCTAACATTCATAACTAAATTCGAAATATCGATATGAAATATATTTATTTCGAAATTTCTGTGGCAAAATGAACTCCGGTTTGATGCCAAAGGGGGGTTGAGAAAAAAAAGTATCAAAAGAACACATTACCGTTTTTCATTTTTCTCAAGGGTTTGAAATATATGAAGTTAGAAAATTATGTAAATAATATGATACGAAATATTTTTGGAAGCAAAGCATACAGAAAACAAAATGTGATAATTGAACGAATATCATTTTTGTAGTCATCGCCCGAAGACGATTGTGGATTCTACAATTGAAACGTCGTGAAATCTTTTTAATATTTTCATACATTTTTTATATTTTTTCATATTTTAAAATTTTTGTTTTATAATTTTTTGTCCATTGATTTTTGTTTATTTCAACTCTGTGATCAATTTCACCTTTCATCTTGGTTATTTCATTTCATTCAATTTATATACCGGGTGATTTCTCTAAGGTGGCTCACCCCTATAACTTTTTTATTATTGAAAATAGAAAAACGAAATTTGGGGATTGTGTATTATAGTTCAATTTACATTTTTTGATACATTTACTTGCTTTGCCGTGCTTCCGGTTTGACCGGAAATGACCCCAACATTCAATTTTCGAATAGGATATCTTATATATTTTTACTTATTTCGATCGATAAAGACATTCTGAATCAAACAACACTTCACGTGTCAATATTCGACAAACAAAATATCATTTTTATTCCAATTTCAATTTTTTGATCTAGAATGGCATGGTTCCTGTAAATCGCTTCTTTCTTGATCAACTAACATGAGAAAACTACGACTGTGATGCTTATGACTTCACAGTCGATAGAAGAATCATTTCACAGTCTCAAATATGAATTTTTCCAGTTAACTTGATTTTTTCAAATGGAAAAGGGGTGGCTCGTCGGCTTTTTGTGAAAGATCATTTTCGTACGAATAATTTGATGCCACACACTTTCACTTTATTCTCTATATTTTTCTGAGTAATTGCAAGAAAGTCGCGAATCAGTCCATTAAGGTTATACATTTTCAGAATGGCCTCCTTTGTGATCACGGCAAAGTTCAACTTTTTCAATTGTTGCGCGCAATCACATTGATTAGCTGTGGAATGCCACCCTTACTTTATGCTCTAGTTCTTCACGAGTAGTTGATGTTGTATTGTAAACCTGAATTTTAATTATTCCCCAGAGAAAAAATCTAGCGGAGTAAGATCTGGTGATCTAGAATATGAAAAAGAAATGAAACATTTATGTAAAAATATGACAACTCAAGAATGTACCTCGCAGGCCACTGAATAGGTCCATAAGTACCAATCCACTTTTCTGAGAAGGTGTCATTCAGATGTTCTCTTACGACTTGAGAATTGTGAGGTGGCGCTCCATCTTGATGAAAATATATATCAAATTGGTTAGAAAGTGGCAAATCTCTAATTAGATGATTAATTTAGTTTCTAAGGAACTGTAGATATTTTTTCGCAGTCAGTTGTCCGTCGAAAATTATTGGCCCCAAAAGTTTTCCTCCGATAATACCCATCAATGAATTGAAAACAAAACGCTCTTGAAAATTTTCTTCTCGCATCAGATGTAAATTTTTTTCCATACCAGTACCTTTTATCACTCCTATTGAACATACCTAAGTTGGTGAATCAGGTTTCATCTGAATAAATAATTTTAAATGGAAAACGTACATATTCTCTGTATTTAGTCAAAAACCAGTTGCAATAAGTCAATCTTTGGTTTTGATAGTTATCGTAAAGATGTTGATGTAGTTAGTTGGTACTTGAATCATCGATAATTATATTTGTGAAGAATTCTCCAAACGGACGAATAACTTATATCACTCTCAGAAACAATTTGGCGAATTGACGCCGTACAATTCACTTCAACATAGGCCAACACGTCTATTTCTTTTTCTACACTGATGATGAAGTTATTGGCCATTTTTCTGGTTCATTTCGCATTTTTCTTTTTAGTTTTGGAAAATAATGCCGAGTGGGATGGCGACGATTAGGGAACCTCTGAGCATAAATTCGAGCTGCACTAGTTGCATTCTGTTTTGTTTCTCCGTAAATTAGCAACATATCAATTTTCTCGTTTCTAGTATAATTTGCCATATCTGATTATAAACTACACAATAAATAAATTTTTAAAAGTGACAGCATATTCATTAGCCCATTTGTTTGGGTAGTCCTAGCAACAGCTTCAATTGTTTGTCACGGATAACTAGAATTACCGGACTTAGTGCATACGTATACCGAATACGTATTATTTATTAGGTATGATCGTTTCTTGCAATTATTCAGAAAAATAGAGAAAATAAAGTGAAAAGGTGTGGCATCAAATTATTCGTAAGAAAATAATCTTTCACAAAAAGCCAACGAGCCACCCCCTTTCCATTTGAAAAAATCAAAATAACTGGAAAAATTCATATCTGCGACTATGAAATAATTCTTCAAACGACTGTGAAGTCATAAGGCTCAAAGTCGTAGTTTTTTCATATTACTTGATCAAGAATGAAACGATTTACATTATCCATGGCATTCTAGATCAAAAACTGAAAATTGGAATAAATTAGAATTAGAATGTCATTCTTGATCGAAATAAGTAAAAATATATAGGATGTCCCATTTAAAAATCTGAATCTGATTATTATATGTCAGGAGCTTCATTTAACACGAGTTTTAACTTGTGAACTAGACTCATATCATTATCAAATACATTATATTCATTTATTGCATCACACTTCCAAAAATATTGCCTCACTTTGATAAAGTATTTGGGAGAGTTATTCAATTTCAGGAATTTCAAAATTTCATTAAACCCATAAAACCAATAGGACTTATATTTCTACTTCATGATTCTGTTGATTTTTGTTTGTTTGATGGCATGTATTAAGCATATGAGATATTTTATTGAATCCAGATCCAACTATAGACTTTCTATTTCAGGAGAGAAACGTCAATGATGCATGTGAAGCAGATATATCCATTCTACATGATCTACAAGACATTACTGAATCTTCTTCTTACAATATTTCAACAGATCAGAAGATCAATGGCGGAAAGCGAAAGGGAAATAAAGGAAAAAACTTTTGTTTATTTTGTTGTGAACCTGTGCTCAATTTTTCCAGACATCTGATGCGGAATCATAAATATGAAACTCAAGTTCAGAAACTTCTCTCGTATCCTATAGGAAGTGAAGAGAGAAAGAAGTTTTTAACGATCCTAAGAAAAGAAGGAAATTTTATTAATAAAAATCAAACTAAAAAGCCTATTAAGCGGCCTATTCACAATGAAAATATTTTACCATGCGATAACTGTAAAGGATTTTATTCTTCAAAATCTCTTTGGCGCCATAGAAAAAAATGTATTGGTTCTGTTGGTAGAGAACACCAGGTACGAGGGGAAAATATGTTATTAAAAAACCTCAGAGTCGACACAAAATTGAAGGAAATGGTATTTCCTCGGATGAAATTAGATGGAATATCTCGTGCCGCTAAAGAAGATATACTCATTTGTGCGTTTGGTTCTAAATATCTGAAAACTCATCGCGACAAGTATTGTGTCAATGTTGTATCCAGAAAGATGAGGGAACTAGCAAGATTATTGATCGAAATGAAACAACGAAATCCATCCATTAGAACTTTTTTTGAAGCATTACATCCATCTAATTTCGATATATTAGTTGAAGCAGCTAAATCTGTATCAAGGTACGATTCCGAAAAAGAGTCTTTCGAATCCCCTTCTTTTGCTATAAACATCCGTCCTACCATCATACAGTGCTGTGAAATAGCTATTTTGTATGTGCTGAAAAAAAAAGAAGTTTATGGAACGTTAATATCGGCGAATGCAGAAGGAGATTTGAAAACTCTCATTAGACTAGTGGAAAGTCAGTGGCATAGCGAAATATCATCCCAAGCTATGAGTGATCTCAATACGAATAAATTCAATAAAATCACAATCGTTCCTTTGGCTACCGATTTGAAGTTATTGAAGGAACATCTGATTTCTGAAAGTCAAAGTGCCATAGAACAACTTCGCGCTGACGGAAATAACGCATCTGCATACAAAACACTTCTGGAGACAATTTACTGTCGCATTATACTTTTGAACCGCAGAAGACCAGGAGAATTGCAGCGATTACCTTTACACTTATATGAAAAAGTTGAGAAAAACCCTTCGAATTATGAAGAATTCTCCTCAATTGTGACACCCACAGAAAAAATTTTATTAGAAAATTTCAGAAGGGTTGTTATGAAAGGAAAAAGAGGAAGAGGAGTGCCCATTCTTATCAGTCCTGATGTTCAAGAAAATATAAAGCTTTTACTTGATCTGAGAAAAAACTTCATCAATTCGAAAAATGTGTATCTATTTGCTAATATAGGTACACTTCAACCAATTTCTGGTTATAAAGTGCTCAGAAAGTACGCTTTCAAATGTGGTGCTAAAAATCCAAATGCGCTGACCGCCACACGTCTGAGAAAACACCTAGCTACTCTGTGTCAAGTATTCAGTATGTCAGAAAATGACATTAAACAACTTGCAACATTCATGGGACATACTGTTGGAATACATCGAGGTTCCTATAGAATGCCTGACGATGTATACCAAACAGCGACTATTTCAAAGTTATTACTTTTAATGGAGAAGGGAGAAGCAAATCAATTCAAAGGAAAGTCTTTGAGTGAAATCGATTTGAATCTTGAAGAAGAAACAGAAGGAACAGAATGACGAGAATGATCAAATTGAGAGCGGTGATGAAATTGATTTCGAAAATATGAATACCTCGGAAATATGTATGGAAATGAAATCTCCGAAAAATGGAAAAAATGAACCCAAATACTCCAAGAGAATACTAGTTCCATGGACTGATCATCAACGAACTGTGGTCAAGGACTTTTTCAAGAGCCATATCACTGGAAAGAAACCACCAAAGAAAAAAGAATGTTTGGTATTAAAAGAGCAGCATCCTGACTTATTCTATAATAAAGACTGGCTGAAAATCAAGGTGTTCGTCCAAAATGAGTATTCAAAGAAAAAAAAGTGTTGATATATTTTCTGAAAAAATATTTTTAAAATGTGTTTGAATGTGTTTGCAGAATTCTTTTTATTTTGATATTAGAAGAATAAAATATTTTCTTTACTGTGTTCATCATTAATGTATCCTTCTGATATCCCAAAGTATTTCTACCATATAATTAAAAGCAATCTTAAGGAGTCTACACTATCTTGAATGATGAAATTACAGAATTATCAGTCAAGAGAATGAGATATTGTCAGCTCTTTCATGACATGAATATAGTAAGTATGTGGATTTAAAATTTCACCTGTGTTAAGCTAAGAGAATCGCTTTGGATTTTTACATTTATTTTTGACGAATCTGTCTATGCCATAATTTAAGGCTTTTCTTATCGCTGACTTTTAGAGTTGTTGGTGATTCGATCTGGTTCTGCCAGAACCAGTAACTAGTAAAACACACTGAATAAAAAAAAAAGTAGAAAATATGGAAAGGGCAGACATTGAAGTCTAAAATAACTTGACTTCAATAATTTTTTAATATCTCATAAACTGGAAAAGTATCGGCGAAGTAAGTTATTTCTGCTTCAACTGCCTCTGATAAAAATTCAAATATTTGATGCAAACAAGAATAAATCAATGAAACGATTAAAAAATATAGTAGCTGTTTATATGGAATGGAAGATTCAATAGTTATATTTTTCTTATATAACAAATACACTAACAGTTTTTAAAACCATCGGAATTAGTTTTTCAGAAGAAACGACATCATTTTTGAACAATTATTTGAAATTGACAAATGTTGCAAAATTATGTTATTTTACCTAGAAAAATATTTCGACAATTCCAAAAAATATTCAGTAGATATAAACATTTTTTCTGATATATAAATAAAATCAGAAGCAAAATCAATTGCTGATTTTTTTAAATAGCAAAATAAAGGTTGAAATGAAAACAATCAAAATTTGTATTCAAATAAAATAGGGAGTATTCACGAGTTGAAAGTAATTAGAAAAATGAACTCTTATCATTAAAAAAGATAGATTAGTTTGCTGACCTCATACCATCAGTTATTTTGAAAACTTCCAATTAGTAGAAAACAGTGCCTAAAAATGATAATACAAATTAGAATTGAAAAATTCTTCGATTAACCAATATTTGCAATAAAAAAATTACGTTTATATGTTGACCAGGGCTACAAGTCTTGTACTTATTTGTGAGAATGAATAGTTTCATTAGTAATAAACGGTATATTCAGGGTTATTCAAATTCGTTTCTGTACTTGGGTATCTCGTAAAGGATAAGAGATAGAGTTTCGAGTAAATTGTGGCAAAGCAGCGTATTTTAGAAACCTATTCAATGATGTAAAAAATCAAATATATCTCTTTTGGTTCTGGAGATATAGGTACAGGAAAAACCAAAAAATCCCAAATTCTTTTTTTGCCTGTATCGTCTTTATTCGCAGACATATTGAAAATCTGTCCGGATTTTGTAATTTGCACTTGATGTGGGCTATCAGAATACATCCATGAATCTTTTATACTAGGTGTCATCTGACTTGGGCCAGCCCCATCTTTGAATTTTTAAATACGGACCTGTATTTTTTTTTTGTAGTTTTTGGATCGTCGACGTTTACTTCTTACTGAGAAATTAAATTCAATTTTATATTTTGGGATGTTTCGGTAATATTTTATTATAATTGAGTGAATTATTTCCTTTCAAAATAAGGCCCTGCAAATTGGTTGACTGATTCGAATAAAAACACAATAGCATCTTTCACGTTTTCCTATGTACCGTAGAGTTTTTTGAAAGATTTTTTCATATTGTTTCACATTTCCATTGATCTGAGCGTTTTCTACAATGAACTTCGAATAGCAAAACCTTTTATGATTATCTGAAACATATCTACGACAAAAATATATTATATGTATTTTGATAAGCAGAAAAAGAAATAGATAGCAAATAATGGGCCAATAAAGTGGCCTGCACGGTCACCAGATCTTACTATTTTGGACTATTTTCTTTGAGGTACATTGAGAAATAGGATTTACGCTGACAGAGAGATAGAAAATGTGAAAGACTTGGGATTGAAAATTTTGAATGCTTTCGCAACAATACAGAGAAGGAGTGTATTAAGGGCAATAAATAATATGAAAAACGAGTTCAAAAATATCTAGAAATGAAAGGACTCCAATTCGAACATTTATTGCGCCAATAATTTTTTGTGTGTATAAATTTCTTCATTTCAATTTTCATTACAATTATTGTGTTCGTTTCGGATGTTTTTATTGCTATCATTTCTTTTCTCCTCATCAAAACACATATATTATATTTTTGGGAAAGTGTTTGGAATTCAAACTGAGTAGAGAAAAGGGTTTTTTGTATAATTCAGTGTTCATATGAAAGTATTTGTTTCGAAAGAATTGTTTTCTTCCGTGTAATTCGATGTTCATATGAAAGTAGCTGTTTCAGAAGGGCTTTTTCTTTCAGTTTGTGTCTGAAAGTAACTTCTTTGCATGATCTACACATGTATAAATAGAGTTACTTCTTTTAAAATAGATTACTTTCTTCTTTTCTTTGAAAGATTCCCACATTTTTTGTATAAAGATGGAGTAGTAGAAAGCCAAAAACTTTCTTTCCCAAAAATTAATCACCCCTAAAAATATATCCCATTTCATTTTAAACTATATTTTTTTTGTAGATATGTTTCAGATAATCATACAAGGTTTTGCTATTCGAAGTTCATTGTAGAAAATGCTCAGAGCAATGGAAATGTGAAAAAATATGAATAGGTACCTATAAATAAAAAAAACTCTCGAAAAACTCTATGGTACATAAGCAGACGTGAAAGTTGCTATTGTGTTTTTATTTAACTCAGTCACCCAATTTACAGGGCCGTAATTTAAAATGAAATAATTCACCCATTTATAATAAAATATTACCGAAAAATCCCAAAATATTGAAATAAATTTAATTCTCAGTATGAAGTGAACGTCGACGATCCAGAAACCACAACAAAAAATACAGGTCCGTATTTAAAAATTCAAAGATGGGGGTGGCCCAAATCAGATGACACCCTGTATAAAAGATTCATGGATATATTCTGATAGCCCACATCAAGTGCCAATAGCAAAATGTGGACAGATTTTCAATATGTTTGCGAATAAAGAAGATACGGGCAAAAAAATTTCAGTTTTTCCTGTAATATCTCCAGAACCAAAGGAGATTTTTTTTGCATCATTGAGTAGGTCTCTAAAATACGCAACTTCACCACAATTTAACCGATACTCTCTATCTCTTATCGTTTACGAGATACCCATGTACAGAATCGAATTTGAATAGCCCTATATAAAGGTTAATAAAATTCCCAGTGATGGACAAATACAAATTATCTAAATGAACAATTCATTTGGGCCAGTCTGTAATTACCTAGACTATAGGTTAATGGACTGACACCTGTCAGAAAACAACTATTCCCCTGACTAATATCACGAAGGATGTTGTATTATATCCGACAGGTGTTAGTGCAGGATTTTTCGCAGTCTCTTGTCACTAACACTGTAGGTTAATGGACTGACACCTATCAGAAAACAACTACTCCCCTGGCTGACACCACGAAGGGTGTTGGATTATACCCGACCGGCACTGGTGCATAGTTTTTTCACTGACAGGTGTTAGTGCGAGATTCTTCAGTGACACCTATCGGATATAATCCAACACCCTTCATGGTATTAGGCAGGGGAGTAGTTGTTTTCTGTTAGGTGTCCGTCCATAAACCTACTGTGTAGGTGATTAGAGACTGGCATGAACGAATTGTTCACTTAAATTATTTGATTTACAGCCAGTCTTTAATTATGCCTCCTTAGGATATGTGAAAAAAGAACAAATAAGTTGAATTTTGGTCAAAGTATATATTTTCCTAATTTTATTTTAAACTGTATCAGTTGTTTTAGGTCTTCAGCAATTTGAAAATTTGTTGATAATATTTACATCATTATTCCAACACATTCCGATATAGAAACTGAGAAGCTTCCTTTTTTTACTGATCACAATACCCTATTTTCATTTTCATCTCATTTTTGTTATGAGGTTGCAGCCAATTTTTCTCATACTAGAGCTATTCCAAAAAATAAAAATTGAATTGTCAAGTTGAAATGTATATAGGGTGTTTCAAATTCAATCCTCACTATTGGGATCTCGGAAACTATGAGAGATACGACGATGGTTCAATCTGGGCAAAGTTGCGCATTTACTTAACAACAATATGTCGTTGAGAAAGTTCTGAAATTTCGAGTCTATCCGGAGATATCCGGGAAAAACAGAAATTTCGGAAAATGATTTTTATTTTTCTAGCTTTATTTTTTGAAGGATTCGAAAATAAATTACACTTCCACATTGCCACTTTTTCTCTTCTACATAATGGTGAATTTGCTATCCGATGTTTCGTCTCCCTGCCACCATCATCAACTTTATTTTTTCTTATGGGCCTTACATTGGATTCTTATTTTTTTTTTGAGAAGAACCAGACTTTACCTTTTCAATGATGGTATCATAAGTTGTCATCCTTTCTCGAAAAATTGGAGATATTGAAAAAAAATAATTCTTATCATAAGCTTTGACTTTGATGTTTCCAAATTTGACTTTCAATTTGTTACACTTAATGACATTTTGTTACCTATTGTACAAGTCATTGAGTTTTTGGCAAAAATGGCTTTCACGAATGAAGAAGAAAGAGATATGATACAAATTTATTGCAAATACCATAGAAACAGTGTTAGGACATCAGAAATGTATTTAAACTTGTATCGAACTATGTTCAAATCATTAGATCAAAATCCATCTTCGTATCTCTCATATAGTTTCCGAGATCCCAATGGTAACGATCGAATTTGAAACATCGTGTAGAGAGATCTGTTATAGATTATTAAATGATCTTTCTAATCAACAACTTTCACGCTAAAAATGTTGCACATTATCAACTGTTCTTACAACCCCACGAACAGAAGCCCAGTTAGAAAATATGAGTTTAGGCTAAAATAAAATGAGCATAATTAGAAACTCACTATTGAATGTTTGGCAAAATAAAAAAAGTTTTTAAAACAAATATAGCAATATAGAAACATGAATCAACTTCAGCCGACCTTTTTCGTGCAAAAATGAATATGAATTCAAAAAAACAAATTTGATCGATTTTGGTCAATATTTTGATGCTTGATGTTATACTTGGATATTTATAGCAAAAGCAATCTTCCAGGAGCCATCTAACAGAAAGAAAACAGAAAAAAAACCTTCTTCCCTTGTTATTGTTGTCTTATGAACAGGTGATCCATGTGGATAGGGTCATTAATTGCTTTTGTGAAACGATTTCTGGCAATCACACAATTGATAAAAAAAACAAGGTTTGAATCCGAGAGTGACAAGTGAGAGCAAATATAACGAAATATGTGCATATTTCTAATACAATGTATATCATTTATCATACCGCCTGTCAGTGTGGCATCTTCAACTAGTTTGAAAACTTTGAACCTTGCGATTTTCAAATGGAACTGTAAAATGTACGTTTCGTAATGAAAGTAGTACCTTCAATAATCACATCATGCAGATGTCAGTTTGACGTCTCCTATTGATATATTCTGCTCAACTCAGTTCCAGTGTTGAAATTGAAAATTGAAAACCAAGCTAAATATCATCGAACGATATTGAAAATATATAGTTATGAAACGAATTTTCATGATCAATCAATATAACTTGGTATAGTTCAAGTAATCGCTTTAATGCCAGCTACCTTCCAACAGTTCCCCTTTATGATTATATTTCTATTCGTCACTGTAACATAATTTCACATTCAAATTTACGACTCGTCAGCCAATCATAAAACGCAGTTAGTGAGAAATAGCCAATAGGAACCGCCAATTTTAGAGCCCACGTGGACCAGTTGAGCAAGCGGTTCGATTTGCTTTGATGTTTTTTATGGCATTTGATAAAAACCGAACGCGTCGCTCTTTAAAACACACTGAAGCGATTTTTGAAGTATACCTATGTAAAAATGAAATTTACAGATAACCTGAAAATCATAAGCAGTTTGTCGCCGGCACAAGGCTTGTTGGAAAACAGTTGTGGAGAAATTGAATGCCAACTTGCCTACATTTGATGAGATAAATATTGGATTTCCAATAATCTATTTCATGTCTGAAAATATACTCACTGGACTCCCAATTGTGAATCAGATGTCTGATTATGGTGTATACTGAGGAGCCCTCATGAATGTTTGACAGACGGACGCTCTACTATCAAATTTCAATGGGACTCTTTGGTTTATCAAATGAAACACTTCATCCAGAATAAATTTTATTCTCTATTATTAAATTACAAAATGGATTGGAAGAAGAGATCCTAAGGAATAACCTCTCAGATCACTGGACCTATCTACTCTAGATTCTTTCCTCTGGGCCATTTACTTAAAATATGTTGTTTTAAAAAGGCATTCTGATTCAGTGAAGCCACTGAAGGAAAGAATAATCCAAGAATGCTGAGCTATTTCCAAAGAAACATTTGCCAATATACGTCAAGAGTTCGAAAATATACTCTTCTATTATCTTGAAAAAGATGGAAATCTAATTCTGTTTCAATCTGTTTTTTCCGTTAAATAGTTATCGTACCCCTACGAACGACAACCCTCAGAAGTCAAAATTTGTGCATGCTAAGGACTAACGAGATATTACCTTATAACGTGTGATTCCTAACACGGAAATCATTTTGAACATTTCGTAAACTAATAATAAAAAATAAAATTGTAATTTAAATAAATAGTGCTTTATTTAATAAACCAAAAATTACTACATCGAATGTAGCTGCGTATAAGTAGGGGTTGCCATTTGAGATTATAAAGTTGGGGTGGCTGGGGGCGAGGGGGTAAGTGAAAACAAGTTAGTTATCACACCATTTTGTTACCCCCTTCCTATAATGGAATATGTTTTCAGCGAGTTTTTATATTTTATTTGGTTGCTCAGATGTGGCCATTGTAAGTTTTCAAATTGTCACCCTGTATGTAAATGTATATACATGTGTGTATTATACACATCTAAAACACACTCGCTTTTTTGTCGTAGAGATGGTGGTGCTTTTAGTACGTCTCCATATAATGCTTGCTTTCGTTATTTCTCCAATGAATTTCTTCATAGAAATAGCAAAATATACAACTCAAATTTCATTCAATATCTGATAAAAAACTAACATTGGACGGCAGAACCTGAAAATTGATCTGGTGTTGTCTTGCTGATGGAATACAACCCACAAAAACATTCGCGCCATGTGGCTACTCTTGATTGTATTGAAGTGTTTTCGGAAGTGCACATGAGTATTGCTATTACTCGATTTGTAAAGCTGGGAAAATGAAACAACGGTAATATTGAAACATTTCAGAATGCCACTCTGAGATCATCTTTGAAATCCTTGTAACCACTGAGGTTTCTAAGAAACCACACCCGATTTTGTGTTTTTAAAATGACACCCTCAGAAAATTCCTACTTTCTTTAGAGTATCCATGCCATTATAAATTCTGTCACAAATCATTTTCCATACAGGATGTCGCAGAATTCAGTTGAAACGCGATATTTTCATCATGACAAGAGTTCCACAAATGAAACAAAGTCAGTTTAGAAAGACTTTGACATGCTCTTCTGAGAACATTTTATAAAAACTATCCCCTTCTTTAGTTTTTGTCACTGTCATTGTTGACATCGTTGTTTTTCCGTTCACGAGCTTTCGCCCCACTACGAACGACAACCCTCAAAAGTGTAAATTTGGGTGAGCGAAGGTTAACGAGGTCTCAGTTTTCTACGTGCGTCTCCTAGAATTGTTATTAACTATTTGCCATCGACTTATAGCGAATATGTTGCTTGTGTACGGAGAATCTCAGAAAAATTATCGCGTAAGGAACGTTTTTCTCATCTAAAGTCACATGTAATTTTTCGTAGAGTGAAAAAAAATATGCTCAACATCGAGCACCAGTCAGAAGTGAATAAAATGAAATTATTGTTTTGATATATGCTGAATTAAAGATACATATTTCAGTTCGAATGTTCAGAGAATAAAAAAAAACTTATCATGTTCATTTGATGCACGTTTACGGTTCACAGACTTTAAACGAAGGCTAGAATTCATCTCGTGCCTCGTGTTACATGATAATCCAAGTATCCTGAATCGAATCTGCTAGAGTGATGGAAGCACGTTTCATAATAATGTTGTGGTCAACACACACAACGCCCATTACTTAAATGCGGGAAATGTAATATTCCAGAGAAGTATATGCTCACATGCTAGAAAGATCTATCGAACCTCGGATAGTTCATGAATTAGAGAATCAGAAAGACATGCACGGCAATTTATCTTCAGAATAAAATTTACTTACTACATTTTCAACAGGATGGGGCACCTCCTTATGTTCTAGTTGGATAATAATTAGCATAATTAAATAATAATTATGCCAATCAATGGATTTGAAGAAGAGGTCCTATTGAATGGTCTCCTCGATCCCTGGACCTATCTCCTCTTGATTTTTTCCTCTGGAGCCACCTGAATTCCGTCGTTTTCAATACGTAAACTGACTCAAAATAGCAACCGAAGGAAAGGATAATCCAAGAATGGCGAGCTATTTCCAGAGGGACATTTGCCAATGTACGCCAAGAATATGAAAAACACTCTATTATGGTCTCGTAAAGAGTTGAAATCATTTTTTTAATCAATTAAAGGAAATAAAATTTCAATTTAAATAAATAGTGTTTTATTTATTAAACCAAAAACTACTACATCGAATGTAGCTTTATAGGATACCATTGAATTTCATTTCGATAAGGTATCAGAAGTAGGGGGTTGCCATTCAAGACTATGAGGATGGGGTAGCTGGAGACTAGGAGGTAAGTGAAAACAAGTTAGCTATTACACATTTTTTCCCTCTTTATATTATGGAAGTTATTTTCAGCGATTTTACACAGCACTAGCAGATATAGCCATTGTAAGTTTTCAAATTATCACCCTGTATATGTAGAACTCAGGAAAAGATTAATTTTATGACTTTTATTTCGAAATATTTTCTTCCCATTACTTTTTTCAGTTCGCTTATATGTCCTTCATCATATTTTCAACCAATCCAACATTGTATACTCTTGATTTATATTTAGTGAATGAACGTTATTATTTTATTAACATCATTACTTTTTATTGTGGTCTTACTGAATCCCATTTGATATTTTCAGATACTACGTTCTTTACCATCTACCGAAGCTCAAGTTTCTGGACTCCAATAAAGTTCGCGAATCCGAAAGGACCGAAGCTAAACGGTGTGGAAAATTCATGAATATAATAAGGCCGAAAGAATCCAATTCGAGAGAAACTCTGTTGAACAATTCTTCAACTAATACATTCACACCTCTTCCGAAAGCGATGCGGAATCCCAACGACCACAAAGGTAATAGATACTGTTGAATGAGACATTAACATTTATCTTGAGATAATAGTTTGTTTCGTTGAATAATAAGGGATGGTGAATCATGAATATAAAATTCTACAGGATATGTTTCATTGTCGTGAATTAACTATCGACAGCAGTAAACTTGCTTTTTAAAAATTCGCATTATGTGATGTTTTTGTCATTGATCAAAAATGTTACAATAATTGGAATAACTGGAATTGTGGATGGTTTAAACTCAACAAAAATTATTTTGAGAGGAAGGGAAACGCCACCTATTTTTGTTGTTGAAACAAAAACCGAAAAACTGCCCATTTCTCGGAGAAACCAACTATCGTCAGAATCATCTAAATTTTTTTTCTCTTCTATTCTTCTGAATAAACTCCTCTATTCATTCTGAATAAACTCCTCTATTCATTCTGAATAGAGGAGTTTATTCAGAAAAACTACAGTAAACCCCTTCATTTTGCTGAGCTCAGTTCAATAACCGAAATACCATTCAAATCATTTGATGAAACATGCTCATATGTGATGTCACGTTAAAGCTCAAATCACTCTTTTCAAGAAGATGGTAATTTGTACAGTTTTGAATATGGGGAAAAAATCAACACCTACAATTTTCTTTGTTTTTCAATCAACCCAGCCTAAACGTTCCGCTGTTCTTCATGAAATTGCTGTTCAGGTACTCCTCGTGGGGTTGCAAGGGAATGCAGTATGGTACTGCAGAATCAGGAGGTACTTATGAAATTAAAATACGAAGATGTAACCGAATGCTATTTATCCACAATAAAGTCCACAAGAAGTCATCGAGAGAGTGAATTAGCAATCGTTTCCAATTTCTCGAATTTAAGTTTGATGTTGACACATTTTTTTTGTGGATGATTCGACATCCTCTCAATAGTGGATGGTGTTTTTAACACACCAGAGACGGAGATCAGCCTCAAAAAAATGGATGAGTATACTGACTACTTACCTTATATAAATCCGGCTTTTCCAGCTTCCAACACAATATCGAAAGAAAAGCATATTTGGCTGAAAACTTGGAAATCCCTTCTAGGTACTGAAGTGGAAAAAATAATTCAACCAGACAATAACTCATCATTCGTTTGCAAAAAAATTCCATCTTCATCAGATTTCGTTCGTGCCATAACAGGTTAAAAAGGGTTTTGAATTTGTAAAGAAATGCGAATCTGAAATTTCAATAAAGGTAGAGGAGACGGAAGCCAATCCTTTTTTTCAAAAAACCAGTTTCACCTAAAATACTCAGTTTGAATAAACTATTCAAAAATATGAATTTAAGTAATAATTGACTCCAAAGAATCAAACCGTAATAATCTTCCCTTTACTCTCATGAGAAAATTTCATATAGATAGTTTTTCCTCGTAATCTATAGAGGGCAAGATACCTTGATAAAATGAACCAATGAAGTTGAAAATGCCAAAAACTCAATAATAAAAATTGAGGACTATACGGAGTAATGCTATTTTTGAATAACCATACTTCCAAATATTGTTAAACTCCTTTGGACGATGAGATTTCAAATATTTTCGATGCCAATTAGATGTGTTAATTTTTGATTCCGTAAGTCCCGGCGATATTATCCTGGACATACTTATAGGACCAACATATGAAACTTATCAACTAGTATGAAAGTGAAGTATTGGAGATAGTGCATACTTTTTTCTATATACTAATCGCTACACTCGGTGCCAGGACACTCAGGCATCACAGGCAACAAAAAAGCTGATGAGCCGATCGTCAACTTAATATTATAGGCCTTGTACCTAGATATTTGATACGGAACCAGATTGGATAGTGGGTATATAACAAACGTAGAGAGTACCGGAAAACATACACAAAAAAACCGTTATAAAGGGTCCGTCCTAGAAGAGGACTGAAATCCAAAGTAGACATTGGCTCACAACAAATACAGGATTACTCAATGGACACAAAGGGACAACAGAGACAGAAACAGCTCATCATATTTCATTCAAGAAAATGTCGAAATTACATTTTTTGAAAAGATCTCTTATAGATTTACTCCTGAACTGTACTCTATTATCGACTACTGACGTTTCGAAAGAAGCAGACACTAGTATGACATAGAAAAAAAAATGTTATCAAATGACTCACACGCAACAATAATAAATCGATAAACTTCGCAAGATTAAAGTAAAGGTCCAATTGGTCAGTCTCCACTGACCAGCGGCCATCATCTAGAGGCAGTGAAAGTTTTACTAAACATCAAACTATTTGCCTTATTGTAATCAAGTTTGGCAATGTTATAAACATAATAATATTTTATTATAGCGATAGTTCCAGCTCCTTATATTACTTGGCTATTCGAGATTCACTTTCGAAAATACTTGTACGATCTCCAGTAGGTTGATCATGATAACGCCTCTGTTCGTTTGGAACATTTACATAATCAAAGAGTTGTAGTGATAACGCCCTGAAAAACTTTGAGAATCTTTCAGAATATGTAACCATTTCAAGAAGTGTCAGGATTATTTTGAAACGAAATCCCTCCAAATAATGTCCCAATTTTCAACTGCCCAAATGACCACAAAACAAGCAACCATAAAAGATCGCAAATAACTTTCCCTTCTTCAACGTATTGATCGAAAATAAGAACTCTAACGAAACAAAGTGTTTCAAACATTTTTCACATTACTTTGTGCTGCGAAAGGATATATCTTTTTTAGAGAGATCAAACTCTACTTAGACACAGAGTGATCTGGGTAAAGTTCACTCCTGCGGCTGCAGCCGCAGAAGTGAAGTGATCTCTGCGTTTCATGTAGGACTTTTGTAGAACGGGTTCCAGCTGCCTTGAAGGGAAATACTGGTGAGTAAATTTCACTAGTTCAAATGAGTGCAGAGTGAGATTGGAACGCCAAGCATATTCGTAGCAGCAACTTTGTTCGTCCCCTACACTTCCGATGGCCAGATTTGTCAGAGTTTGTGCTGATACACATCATCTCCATAATCCCCGCATCGTCCTCTTCTGATACGGACCGTTGCACATTTGTCTATCCTGAATTTCATGTCGATACCATAAATGTACTCTTTCACCAGCCTCGAGCACTGATAGAGATCATTTTCTCCTGAGAAATAAAGTTTAAGAATATCCTTATGAAACAAATGTGTGATCCCGGGTATTTCCCAGCGCAACGGATCATGGCAAAAGTGAGATGCGAGAAGGGGTACTGAGGGAATCCCCCTAAAATACACCTTTTCTGAAAGTGAACCACTCTATTTGAACTCTAGCCTGACCACATATTATGGTGAAGCCAGTCAGCCATATTGGTATCAGTTGGTTTTAGCAATGAATAAATATGAAAACATTAGTTATTTTGTACTTTTATTTGTCCACTTGCATATTGTTGATATTGTGTTGATATAAAAACAGTTTTGTCGATAAATATGAAAGGAGACATTTCATTTTCTTTAATTGGGAAAATAAATCAATTACCAAAGGTTTTGAAACCAGATGATAACTTGGCAATTCGTCAGTTCGATGGTATATATTTCGACCATTGAAAAATTCGAATGTAATTACTGTTCAGAGAACATTAAGTTGAAGAAGTGATTAGTGAAGCAGTTCCCTTGCCGAAAGACACCAACTGGAAGAAAAAGGACATACAATATCAGAATATATTCGTGCTTAGCTAATTCGCACTTGCAATTTGTTAAAGATAAGAAACCTGCAAAACAAATGTGGAAAACATTATAAAATTCATATATATAGAAAGGACTTGCCAGTGGAATCTATTTAAGGAATAGGCTTCTGATGCTAGAATCAGAGAAAAACGAAAGTTTGGAAAGTAATTCGAAAAAATTCTCTGAGATTGGTAGATATATAAAATCAGCAGGTGAAGAATTGGAAGAAGTTTAGCAATGAATGTGTAGCAACACATTCATTGTTGCTACACATTTATTACTATCGTCACCATCACCGTATTATAGTTTAACTACAGCATTAGAGATATTATCCGAAGGAAAAATAATCTTGGATTCAGTAAAGAATATTTTACGCCCTATCAAAAATCGTCAAAGGACAAATTATCCTCAGAATAGTCCAAGAAATAGTCCCTTGAAGTTTCATCACTTATTTAATAAACACCCTGTATAACTATTATGAACACTATAAACCTACATGAAATAATGAGTTCTTAGTTCCACAAAGGTAATCAAAAGAGGGTACCGTTCTTCAGTAGTTCAATTCCCAGAATTTTCTTAAGTTAGTTTATTAATATTTCTCGACTCCCCAGTCTAGGAGTGAATTCGGAAACTGTATAACCTCAGTCTCATTTCATTCCAAACAAGTATATCGGGAGCTGAGGTTCTCCAGGAATTTTATTGCGGCTGTCGGGTTAAACCCTTCTGTTCTTCCACGACAAAACAAGCTCACTGATTAAGCAAGTCTGTGACAATAATTTCACTTCGTCTGTTTGCGTATGTTATCAAAACTTTACTAAGTTAGTATCGTGTTTGTCGTTTCATTGAAAAAATAGCTGCATAATTTGTTGGTGAATAAAAACCACATGCTATGTTTCTAGTAATGTGACAGAATGAATTCATTGCAAAGAACATTCAGGACATAACCCTTCACAATACTTCTTGATGAGATTGGTCGTATCTCGTGTTCAAATCTACAAGCATTATTATTTCATCTCGGAACTATGTTTCGTGTTGACCGTTTGAGTTAATAAACCCCTTTCTTCTCTTGATAAATTCAGTGATATATCTTCCTGAAAACTGAGTTTTTTCTGTGAATGTGTAGTATAATAGTAAGATAAGAATAAAATACATTCTTCATTCCACGATACTAACAATTATCAATGTATGAGTCATTCTAGGTACAAAATGCAATTAGGATCCAAAAATATTCTAGACGGAATGGTATCAGATCATAATTTTCCATAAGAGTTGAATATTCATTTTTGAATAATGCAACTACCTTTCTTACTTCATGGCGAAATAAAAAGTAGTCTGATTTCAGTGTATGATAAAGATGGGTAAAGTTGTTCCCACCAATAAAAAGAGAAACACTAACATAATTTCTAACTATAGGTCAATACCCATACGATCTATTTTTATTTTCAAAAAAAATTAATACTCATTTTCAGATTGCCTGTCGTGTTTTCTCGATACTAACAAAATAATCTCAGAAAATCAGCATGGGTTCAGGCCGGGAAAGTTAACAGTTAACAGAAAAATAACGCGTCTCATCGATGCTGGTGAGTGTTGGGACATTTTGTGATCTCAGCATGAATCGACTGTGTAACTCATAGTATTTTAAAAAAGAGGCTATACCATTATGGTGTGAAAAGCTTTCTATAAAATCTCAAACAGTATGAGTGTTGGAGAAATGAACAATCCAATGAGTCGAGGGTTACAAATTCTGCATTAGCTGATAACAACATAGGTGTTCCACAGGATTCTATTTTGGATCCTGTATTTTTTCTGCTATATATTGATGATATTGAAAAACTATTTGAATGTGACTTATAACAATAAATGCAGATGATATCTATGTTCTTGTGTCAGATCATTTTGATGAAATGCTTGGAAGAAATTGTAATGAACTATTGAGATTTTTGGCAAGGTGGACATATAACAACTAACTATTTGTCAATGTGGAAAGACACAATTTCTTCGGTTTCACAACCGAACCAATCTGGCCTTTAATTTTTCTACAGAACCATCTACATTCAGCTTTCTTCTCTGAAACCATTCATGTGGAATCGCTCTCCTACTAGATGGCGTTTCTTCCATAATCCAAGTTCGATGTTCATTTAGAGATTTTCCATTGCTCGATTCTAATGATCTTTTTCAGGGCAGGAGATGGACTCTTTTTGAGTGAGTGGCTCTTGAGGTTCTGTTATTTCACTAGCAACAATCATGGCATGATTATCGAAACGAAATGGCTTTCTGATTTCACGTCTATCTCTCAGCTGCCTTTTTATTACAATGTCCTCATCTTCTAGAAGTGGATCTTCCATCTCTTCAGTTTGAGAGCCGGAGATATCCGTTGTATTCTCAGCATCGGTGTCTACTGGTATATCTTCTCTGACGTCTCATTTTTATGAGTAGAAGATACTCTTGGTATAACACAATCTAAGGATTTATCTTCGTGAAGAATTAAATCACGAGATCGTATAAGCCTATTAGTTTCTTCACACCAGATACGATATACAACATCATTCTATATCCAATTAGTATTCCTTTCATAGCCTTTCTAACCATTTTCTTTCAATATCTTTTTGGTATGCGTGCATGGCAACAACTGCCTACTACTTACTCTCAGATGCCTCAAATTAAGTTTCTTTTTGAACAATATTTCGAAGGGAGATTTGTTGAAGTATTTATTCGAGACGACTTAACTCCATTTTTATTACATCAAAAAATTTCTCAACTACCCACAAACATGTACAGTGTGAACCGAAACAAATTATGAAAATGATGGTTTTTCAACAGTAGTACCATTCTTCTTTTTTCCTGTGAAATTTATAGAATTTCCCAATATTGAAAACTGATATCAGACAATCGAAATAAATAACATATTCTTTTGTATTTTAGGTATTCGAACTTTTTTTTTTGTTTCAGGTGCATACGGAAAATGTAGGTACCGTTATAGTGGAAAACATTCTGAAGGAAACAGATTCATTTCCAATAGTGATCTTTAATTTTAGTACTTGTATTATTTTTTACTCATTATCACATTTTAATGAAATAAAACGACATTTTTATAGATAGTCTACGATAATCTGAAATCCTCCTCTCATATTATCAAAATCATTTCGACAGTTGAATCATCATCAGCATAATTATTGATTATTTTCAACATTGATATGATACCAAAATGACTCATCAAACAATCACAAAACATTGCAGTGATCACATGTATTCCTTCAATCTGCCGAATATCAATTATGAAATCAATTCATGCAGTTATTGAAGATCATGCTCCACAGTCGAGATAAACGATGTTTTTTATTGATCAAACCTGTTGATGTTTTCATTCTGTGCTTCAAGTGGAGTGAACACCGTCATTCTCCATCGAATTTCTCAAAACACGTTCATAAATTTTGTTGAAGAACATACAGAAAAAGCATGTGACATAGTTACTGTATGAACTCGTATTCAACATGGCCGACTCTGTAGTGTTAGTGGAAAGTGGCTCTGTGAATAATGCTAATAATTTATTCATGTGCTGCAAGAATGAACCTGATTTTACCTACTATGTGTGCATTAAGTGTTCCCGCATTTTACACAAGAGCTGTTTGCAGCGAATGAAAAACGTGCACTTTATTAATACTCACAAAATAATGTGCAAGTAATGTTATGCTACAGTGGAAACAACTGTTGACGAAAGCGCACATGAAATGTGTATGAAAAATTTACATGAACTTGCAAAGGACAATGATGAAAAAGATAAACATATTAGCAAATTACAGTTTGAATTAAAAACATTTTTCGATCAATCAATCGATATGGAATCATAACTCAATGCCATACAAACTGTGAAAGGAAAAGGAAAAGTCAGGTGAAAATGATCTTGATAGTGGGTTCAAGGTTCTAATGGTGGACATTAAAATGTGCATCGCTGACAATATAAGACACTTTATATCTACTCAAAAAAATATTCAAATAGTCCTGAAAAGTGTGAGACTTTTCGCAAATAAAAATCATTTTTAGTCAACCTCAAGGACTCAATAGAAGTTACATAAATGATAGCCATAACCGTAGTATTAGTAGTAACAAATCTTGTATAACCTCCGTTTATAGTAATTACCTGAATGTTGTTAATGTTAGGTCTCCAACCCTGGGTACAAAAATTAATAATGTTGAGAAAAATGAATTTACTATCTCCGAGAGTAATGCTCCGAACATTCTCTCATTTTGTCACCAAAACATTAAGTGCATTAGTAATAAGATTGTAATGTCAAACTATATATTTGCTAATAAACAAAAATGTGACATTATATTGCTAACAGAACACTGGCAGACTGAGACTCATCCTGACGTGCTGAAGCTGAAAGATTTTAGTATATGCTCTTCCTTTTGTAGAAAGAATTCAATACATGGTGGTGTTGCTATTTTTGAACATGATAATCTCAAAAAAGAGAATATCTGTCATTATGATGTGAATAACTTTTGTGTAGAAGGTATAATGGAATGCTGCAGTATTAAAATAATTTCTCAGAAACTCATATTAGTTGTTATTTATAGACCATCTTCAGGTGATTTTCAGGAGTTTTTGTATTTATTAAATGGTATGCTAACAAAGTTGTGTAGTGAGAATGTCGATATCATTGTGGGAGGTCTTCTTCGATTCACGACTTGTTTATTTTGTGGAAATTCATGTTCACTGAGGATATACTAAAAACACACTTTTGTCTATTTTCCACTATATTTCTTTATTGTTGACCGGTTTCGGCTATTACACCATTTTCAAAACTAACTGATTACTTTTAAATCTGAGTAATGTATACCTATGTTGCTTATTCTATCATAAATGATTTGATATACCTGATACCCGGTACCTGCGTTTCATATACCTGTAAAATCCATGAACATAACAAAGCTTTCAATATAATGTAGGTTTTGGNGATATTTAAATCATTAACTTTCACAGCAAAATCAATGTTATAAGAAACTAGCGTGCCGTCATGACTCGGCACGAGTGTAATGCTGATACTAAATATAAATTCACCCATTGAAAATTCAATGGCATTGAAAACAGTAATGAAAAGATAATTTCGTTATACGGACGTGCCTTTTTCCTTCGCGGCTGGTGCCCCAGTTGGAATATTCAATCCTTCCTTATTGCATATATACTATATAAAACGACACTTCATACAAAATTTAAGCCTCCAAAAATATAGCGGTAAGAAGAAACAGTGATGAAAAATTAATTTTCATATGTAAACGCTCCCATTTCATTCCCAGGGGGCGCCCCAGTTGGAATATTCAAAAATACTTTGTTAGTGCACATCTGGACTTGCATTCATCTGATCACTTTGCACAATTTTTAGTTATGGAAGATCACATTATAAAAGAAAGTGGTAATAAAACAAAAAATTACTACTTCCGCAGGAATCTCTGTAAAAAAACATCTCAAGATTTCAGGACTACTTGAAAAATTAAAATTGGTCAGAAATGTATGCACTAGACTATCCAAACTTGGCCTACAATGTTTTCTCAGAGATGCTATTGTATTATTCTGGAATTTCCTTTCCATTGAGAATATTCACTATAAAAACAAGAAAGGGCAATGATTATTTTATGACACCTGAATTGCAATTGCAATTGTATATCTCAATTGCTAAGCAGGATGACAACTACAAAGAAATAAGTAAATATTAAATATACAGAGATACTATAATATAATAAAGTAAATATACAGAAAAAAATTAAGTTGTGCAAGAGAAGAGGATCATGATTATCAAATTCTGAATTCTGATAACAAATCTAAAACTACTTGGCAGATCATTAATCAAATTCAGAAAAAACCTAAACAAAATAGTGCAATAACTGTTAAACTTAAGGACGATGACATTGGGGAAAAAGAATTAGCTAATATGTTCAATGAGAATTTTACTAAACCGTTGATTGTAAAAGGTGCTATGATCTGAATTTCTTTGCACAAAATATGTCAAATAATTTAAATAGTTCTTTCCCAAAGAATATCAGAATACCCAAATTCAGAAAAAGTCATACACAAAGATTTATATTCTATTTCGGACCTAAACTATACAATATGTTACCTCTAAATAACAATCTTACTGATTTTCAGCTTGGTGGGAATTTAGGTAGCTTTACTCTTATTTTTCCACAAACTACACCTAAACGATTTGATCTCCACAAACTTTAATGAAAAAATATATCACATGTTTCGCTGAACATTAGCTTTTTCAAGTGATTAATACTTGGGGGGTATTATTCACTTGAAGAAGCTAATGTTTAGCGAAACATGTTGTGATATATTTTTTCAATAAAGTTTGTGGAGATCAAATCGTTTAGGTGTAGTTTGTGAAATTACTATGGATCTTCATCAAGTAACGGCCGAATCAATCAGAAAATTCACCCTTATTTTTTTGTCAAATTTGACCGGGCTACTATTTGTTTGAAAGATTTGTTGATGCCACTATGTGTGGAATATAATCGTTCAGATGTCCACTACGGCTTTTCTGGATGGAGCGCATCCGAAACGTCCAATTTTCCATGACTGACACATAAATCAGGCTGAATTTGCCCGATGGCATGCATGGTTTATGTTGGCTTTGAGGACTGCTGTCGTTTGTAATTTATTCGCATATAGCTGCGACTTGAGAAAACCCCACAAGAAAATTTCTAACGGGATCAAATCGCACGATCTCGATAGTAGCTCAGTTCACATCACTTCCACGTGAGATGACCATGCCCTCAAACCACTCGTGCAGAATATCTAATGTAGCATGAGCTGTGTGGCACGTAGCGTTGTCCTGGTGGTGTCCGAATCATCCAATTCAGCCCAAAAGAAAGTTGTTGATCATTGACCTATGTGCTCGCCGTTGACAGTGATGGCCTGGCCACCGTCGTTCTCAAAGAAATATGGACCGATGACGCCGCCAGCCCAAAATCCACACCAGACAGTGACTTTTTCGGGATGCATTGGACACTCTTGGCTCTCATGTGGATTAGTATCGTCCCAAATTCAAAAATTGTGTTTGTTCACGTACCCATTCATCCAGAAATAAGCCTCATCGCTGAAGGTAATTTTGCACAAATGTTAAGCCCAAGTGCCGGGTGTTGATCGATCGTTTACTGAATCAGTGGACTCAAATTCATCCATCACATTACAAATAGTCCTCTCAGTAAGACTATTATGGCGACCGTAAAATGGGCGGAGCGCGGGGTACGTTGCCCGAACACCCACTTTGATAAAACAATTTTATTATATCCACGTGTTGTTAAAAGACTTCTTTACTCGTTGCCTGGAAACATGATTGAAGATCGTTTGATATCCATGTACAATTAGTGTCTAGTTCTTTTTTATTTCTATGAAATAATTACTTTTTTTCTATGACGGGAAAAAAGTTTGACATGTTATCTCTGATGACAGGTAACAAATGTCACTTTTTATGAAATTACTTTTTCCACGGGAAAAAAGTGAGTACTTTTCAATACAACAGTCGAATTTTCTTGTGTCGAAATTATATTTTCCATTGCGATATGCATAAAACAGGCGGCGATCCTTTGCTGCTGCTGGACGAAGGGCTATGTACATTCGGTAAAATTCAATATATTTTTCAGTAACTACAAATCTACTGTTTACATCATTCTTTGTTTGTTCACAATTATTAAAGTTCCCGAATCTTCAATATCATCTAATGTTACCTGGTTGATTTCATAAATTCGACAAGCTCCTGCAATCCCAAATACAACAACAACCTTGGACATTAAAAACTTCATCGGGAGCATTATTTAAAAAGTCACTAATCTTTGTACTCGTAAATATCGCAGCTTTCTTGGGCGTGTACCCTTTCCCATTTTGTTTCAGAAGTGTAATAAAATTGAAATATTTTGAAATGTCTACATTATCATTGGATTGTAGCATACTTTGAATAATTCGACCACACTGTTGATGGCTTTTGTTGTTGTGCCAGTTCCGAAAAATAAGCCAATAAAATCGTCTCCGAGAAAGAACTGCATGACTTTTTCATCTTCCATTCCATGAATCTTGAATACGCGGTTTCATAATTTTCC